ATGAAACACTTGTTTAATTGTCAAGATATGGATGTGTGCACTGTCACCAGAAAATGTATTTATGTCTGTTGGTTACAGTCTAAAAAGTTTAAGAAACCATGATTAGATGTTTTCCTGGTCAGGAAAGGTCAAACTAAAAAGGGCTCTGTGTGTGTGTGTGTGTGTGTGTGTGTGTGTGTGTGTATGTGTGTGTGTGTGTTAAAGACAGCGAGATGGGGGCTCCCATTCTACTAAGGAGATGACAGAGCCTGTGCAGGTGTTTTCTCTGTGATCTCCTCTCCTCCTACAAATCATACCCAGAAGAAGGATCTTGAAGACTTGCCCCTGCCTCCCCAGACCCATCTCCACACCCAGGCCAGCCTGGGCAGAGGGCAGCAGAGCTCACATCTCTGTGGACAGCAGGCTGGGCTCACTGCAGGCCTCTGCGTCATTGTTCATCTTCACTTCATAGGTCTCATTCTGAGGCCTCTCCTGACACACCATGGCTATCTGGCTGTCCCGGGAAAAGCATCTACAATATTCAAGATAAAGAAAATCATGCATTCTTCTTTGTCTTCACTGCTAGTGATCTCAGAGCTAAATATTGTACATTGATTTAGTTTTCTTTGGCCAGCATTTACAATTCTTTTGTTCTCATTCCTTCTTGCTGGTTTTAAGTACATGTTCTAATAAAGTCTGACTGCTTGCATCCACATTCTTCACTCCACCATTCAACTAGCTGAATGACCTTGGCATATCACTTAAGTCTTCTGAGTCTCTGCTTTTCTCATTAATAAAATAAAGATAATAATAGGACCTATGTTCTAGAATTCTCATGAGATAAATGAGATAATCCTGGTAACAAAGGCCTTAGCACCTTACATGTCCTTGTGGAAGCTTAACCAATGGTAGCTATTACCAATATGAATTGGGTTTGGTTTCAGTATTCGTCTGCTTTTATAATAAATTTCCTTAGATCCTCTTTTAGAAAGAGAGCATGTAGGAGGTACAACTTTGTTTTCAACAAGCAATTCTCCAGGTAACTAAGAGTGAGAACTCAGTCACTCCTGCCATAATGCCCTTCATAAGGGATGTAGCCCCACGGTCCAAACATCACCCACCAGATGTCACCTCCAACACTGGAAATCAGTTTTCAACATGGGACTTAGTGGGGCCAAACAAACCACATCCAAACTGTAGCACCTAGGTATTGGGAAAAGTTCATGAAATGTGCCTGTGCTATAAGAGAAAACATCATAGAGACCAGATTATTCCTGTCCCCAAGACCCCACATGCCTCACTCTCGAACAGTACAAGATGTACCCTAATAATATTTGCTTCTCTCAACCCTAGTTTCTTAGATTATGATGTCTATCTTGATATACTTCAGCTCATTAAGCCACACCATAGTGGGTGTGGGACCTACTGTTTCTTCACATGATATAGGTTGAAATACTTAGTCAAAGTAAATTTTCAGTGGTGCTTCAAAATGGGGGACTAGAACTCAGGAAGGTGATAAAAGCTGGATATATGGATTTGATCGCCCCTGGAAAACAACAAAAACATATGTTTGTGGTGGTCCTGGTGTAAAGAAACCTGCGCTGACAGTGTGTAAGAATACAGCTTGGACAGTTACATACAGTACACGATACTTGATAAGGATTATAAATGACTGTTACTGGTTTGTGTTTACAATACCTTTATTGTTATTTTAGAGGGTACTCTTTCTAGTTTTGGTTTGTTTTCGAGACAGAGTCTCATTCAGCCCAGGCTGTACTGCAGTGGCATAATCATAGCTCAGTAAAGGGGTGAACTCCTGGACTCACGCCATCCTCTCACCTCAGCCTAGCAAGTAGCTGGACAGCAGATGTACCACCACACCCAATAAATTATTTTTATTTTTTTATAGAGGTAGGTTCTTGCTGTTGTCTAAGCTGGTCTTAAACTCCTGGCTATTGTGATCCTTTTGCCTTATCCTCCCAAAGTGCAGAGATTACAGGTGTAAGCCACATGTCCAGCCTCTGCTTTCTAAAAACAAAGCTTACTGAAAAGCAGATTCAGGCAAGATCCTTCAGGAGGTATCCCAGAAGAAAGTGTTGTTATCGTAAGTCATGCAGCTTCATGCAAGTTACTGCCTCTGAAGACCTTCCAATGGGACAACATGTGGAAGACAGTGATATTGATGATCCTGACCCTGTGTAGGCCTGAACTAATGTGTTTGTGTCCTAATTCTTAACAGAAAAATTTAAAAACTGAAACAAAGTTTTTTAAATAGAAAAGAGCTTATATAATAAACTGCACAATTGTGTTTTAAATTGTTATTATGAGTCAAAAAGTTTTAAAAGTTAAAAGGTTTACAAAATTAAAAAGGTACGAAAACTAAGGTTAATTTATTGAAGAAAACAAGATTTTAACAAATTTAATGTAGCCTAAATGTCCACTGTTTATTATGAGGTCCACAGTAGTGTGCATTAATGTCCTAGGCTTTCACATGCACGCAACAGTCACTCCCTGACTCACCCAGAGCAACTTCCAGTCCTGCAAGCTCCATTCATGGTAAGTGCTTGTGTGTGGAAAAACCAACACAAATGTACTTTCCCTCTGCTCTCACACCACAACCACCCTCAACATGGATGACTTCCATGACCACATATAGGGGAATTTCTCCCCACACACTAAGCAAGCAAGCAGTTTTGGAAGGGACATCAGCTAGGTGTCCTCCAGTTCAATTTTGACACGGTCTGCCTGGAGATAGCATCAGATCCCACAGCTTGTGGGCTTAGGCTCCAAGACTCCTCTCCTTCCCACGATAGCAAGTTTAGGCCTCCAGAACATCTGACCGACCAGCTTCAAGTGGGGCTAGCAGTTGAGTAAACCCTTCTCTGGGTTGGATTAATTTGCTAGAGTGCTCACGTAACTCAGGGAAACATTTGTTTACTGTTTTTTTACAAAGGGTATTTTACGTGATACAAATAAACAGCTAGATGAGGACATAGGGGGAGTCTGGAGGGTTCCCTAGCCCAGGGTCTTCTGTGGGGTTGGGGGTGTGCCCCCATCCTGGCCCTGGGATGAGTTTTGTCAGCCTCCTATCAGCCTCCACACGTTCAGCTTTCCAGAAGCTCTCTGAGCCCTGTCCTTTTGAGCCTTCGATGGAAGTCATCATTGGGTAGGCATGATTGACAACCATACACAAATGCAACTGGACCAGAAAGGATGATCTAACACTAGTTGACTGAGATGGGGAAACCCGGCAAGGCCCATCTAGATTCTTCTTGGCCTCTCTGTGCAGCATTCCCTCCTCCTGAGGATGGGGCAGGAACCTCTCTGGAATGAAGATCTTATGATGTGCAATCAAATTAGAGTCCTGCCTCGGGCAGGTGAGCAGAGCAGGAGAAAGTCAGAGAAAGTCTGTTTTCTGAGCCTAAAGTGTCCCAGCACTATAACAAGGCTATAATGAGGGCTATAGAACTTATGAGCCAGGAACCTTGGACAGAGAGAAATACTAGAATGCCATGGTGCCCTTTAGAGGTATACCACTTTTATCTTTCAAACCATATGTTTACTGTAGCTTTTCTGTGTTGAGACCTTTAGAGACACAAGTACCATCATGTTGCAGTTATCTGCAGTATTCAGTATAGTCACATGCTGCACAGGTCTGTAGCTTAGAAAACGTAAACCAAAGAAAAATGACCAAGGTGAGTCCCGATCACTTTTCAGTAGGTTTATTTGCTGAGGTTGAGGACAGGCCCAGGAAAGAACACAGATCTACATGAAACATTGTGTTTCATGCTTTTTCCAAAGAGGGTCTTGGGACCCCAGTATTTAAAGGGAAAAGGCCAGGTATTGGGGAAAGAAGATACATTTTTTAAAGGGACTGGCTCCTCTCCCCAAAAGCCTTTCCTCCAAGTCCCGGTAACTCTCCCTGACCCTGCTGGGAAGGCGCACCAGTTACCTGTCATTCCAGGAAAGCTCCCAGCATAAGATGCTCCCATTGATCATCTCCCGGAACCAGACTTTCCGAAAAGTTCTTAAGAACCTGCTAGTCCAATCCCTCCCTGAAAAAAGGAGAAGCAAAGTCCAGGGAGGCGAGGCGATGCGCTGTCCTCCTAATCAGCAGGTGAGCTGCCGGCAGGGCTGGGGTTTCGTCTTCTGGGCTCTCTGCAAGGACGTGCCTGGCACGGGGCAGAAACGATTTCATACACTCGTCATCTGGACGGCCTTTCGCTGACACCATTTCTCCGCGTGGAGGAGCCGCCGGGGCGCGCAGGGCAGGTGTCGTCCGTCTCAGAGGTAAAATGACCTCCAGGGGCCGACTAGAGCCGGAACCAAAACAGGTCTTCCGTCACCGGGACAGCGCCCGTCCCCGGCAGCTACAACCGTCCAGGCGCTTCGTACACCTGGCGCTAAGCGGCGGGGATTAATCACACAACCCGCAGCTGCCGGAAAGCAGCGGGAGGAGGCACCGAGCCCTGGGGTTGAGGTCCGAGTTCCCGAACACAGCCAGCGGTCGCCCGCCAGACCCAGCACTTCCGGCGCCACTCTCCACCCGTGACGCCGCTGCGCAAGCGCAAAGGCGCGGAGAGCGCGCAAACCACGCCCCTCCAGAGTCCGGCACGTGCTCGCGAGCGGTGCGGAGTGCGCGTGCGCAGCGCCCGGGGCGGTTCCGGCTGGCGTTTGCTGAGCAGAGCCGCCAGTTTCAAATTCAGCGGCGTCTGCCGTGATTCCCGAGACTTGGCCTCAGCGAAGCAATTCTGCCGGCGAAGAAGGTGAGTGCAGTGCTGCGTGGCGGCAGGGCTGAGGAACAGGAGCAGCGGGACAAGGAAGGGCGGACTCTGGTCGGAGTCTCTCCCAGCGCGGGACCCTTGTATGCAAAGGGGCACGGCCAGTCCAGGGCGGGAAAAGGTCCCGGAAGTGGAGGGCGGGGCCAGCGTGATGGACGGGCGGGAACCCCTGTGCGGAGACCGGACGGGCCCACGAGGGTGGTTCCTGCGGCGGAACCCGGCAGTGCGCAGAGTCGGCCTTAAAAGCAGCTCTGCGTCTGCGTCTGACATTTGACCCAGCTGTGCTGAGGTTGTCATCGATTATCTTATTAGATAAGACATTGCAACAGTGAGTGAGCACGCTGACCCACCTTTCTCTTAGGAATGGCGAAACTCAGCCCCAGAGATACTAACTTGAGCAAGGATACAGCTGGGATCCCAAACTTGGCTGGCTGAGCCCAGAGCCAATAAAGTTAAGGCCAGCACGGTTCTAGCTTCCCTAGGGCGGGAATCGAGGAGGGAGGAGCAAGGTCCAGTACAGAGGCCAGGGATGAGAGCGGTTGACCAGATTGTTGACGGAAGTGTCATAAAAGTGGACTTGAATTGTTAATAAGGAGCTGGTTGGGTTTCACGCAGGGTGCGAGCTCAGGATGCAGACGGGAGGGGAGACGGGGCCAGAGGAAGGTGGGGATGTGGGTAGTAGGAGCTGGGCCAGCCTCCAGCTGATGGAGCATTGCAGCACTGCAGCGTGTGGCCCTGGCTTAAAGGCAGGGCAGAAAAGCTTTTTTTCTGTGGTGCTTTCTAGGTGTGTGAAGTTAAAGCATTTTAGGGCCATAGTTGTTTCGGCAGCTCTGGCTGCCATAACAAAATACCATAAACTGGGTGGCTTAGACACAGAAATGTGTTTTCTCACAGCCCCAGAGGCTTGCGACGTCTAAAATCCATGTGGGGAGGACACAGTTGAGCCTGTAGCGATAGTCTGTACTGAGTAATGAGTGATAATTGGGGGCTGAAGAAAAGGAACACTTTGAGAACTAATAGGTTCCTGAAGTGCTTTCACAACTCTTACCTCGTTTTATGAGCGTGAGATTTGCTGTCCTGATGTGTGCCTGTGTGAAGGTTGTCCGCTACACAGCCAACCTGAAGAGGGCTGAACCAGTCACTGCAGAAGTTTTTAATAGCGCTTAGTGAATCCGTTATTCTCAGGTTTATCTAAACCTCTGTGATTTAGTCTGTGCTGCTTCTGGAATAACGAGATCTATAATTACCACTGTCGGGGGAGTGAAATAATACTTTTCTTCCATATTGTTTAGTGTTGTCATTCTAGAGTTTGGTAACCAAGTCTGGTTTTTATCCCACTTACCCTGGCGGGAGGAAAAGTTAGGAAATACAAAGTTACAGGTGGCTTGGGGGTCTGGCAGATGTTCAAATCCTGGGTTCAAACACTTTGCTGAGTGACCTTTGGGCAAGTCACTTAAGTTTACTGAGTCTCAGTTTCTTTCTTTATAAAGTAGAGCTAATGAAAGTACTGGCCACACAGGGTTGTTGTGGGGTTATGTGAAAACGGTTTTTGACACCATTTAAGAACTGGCCCTTTAACTAGGTAGGTATTCAAGTCATGGAACCTTCTTTACCCAGCCTTGGAACAGAAACCTTTACTTAGAGCCCCAGTGTCTGACTGGCTATTCATTCATTCATCAGATCAGATTTTTGTTGAATACCTATGAGGTGTTGAAGCACCTAGTTCTGAGTCCTGGAGCCAAAAAACAAAACAGACAAGGTTTCTCCATTTATGGAATTTATGTTCCAGCGAGGAAGAATAAATAGGTTCAGATGGTGCTAAGAGCTCTGAATAAATTAAATACAGAGTAATGTGATTTTTAAAAAGTGACTTAGAGCAAGCTAGCGGGTGAGAGGTGGGGGTGGTGGTTGACCACTATCCAGTGGCCACGCCAGAGAGGCTTCTTTGAGGAGGTGAGCTGGGGCCTGGATATTGAGGACTCCTCCTTCCCCAGGCCAGCGGGAGCAGCAAGTGTAAGGCCCGAGCTGAGTAGATGAGGCTGGGAACCTGACTGGTCTCAGGCTGACCAATGCTCTGTCTCGAGAGGAGCTGCTGGCCAGCTTTTCTCTTGTGATTCAGAACGAGGAGACATGAAGACTTTTTATTTGGCAGTGGGAGCTGAAGCTGAAAGATCCAGGGGCTGATGAGGCCACGTGCAAGCGAAAGTTTGGGGTAAGCAGAAACCAAGTGCACTGAGGGAGTGAGATTGTGGCTGTGTCCGGCACCTGGCTGAGCAGGAGAGTGAAGCCCGTGGGTGTGTGTTTGCTGGTGTTGTTCCTGGAGCTGTCTTGAAGTCTGAGCTACCTTGCAGCTCTAGTCTGCTTCTGTTTTTGGCTTTCCAGGATAGTTTCAATTCTTGTGCTGGTTATCGCTTGCAACCAGATGGGCTTCACTGAAGCACAGTCATTTGGATCTGGATTGGAATCCCTGGTTTTTCACTTTTTAGCTATGACTTTGAGTGATTATTTAATTTCTATAAGCATCATTATCCAATAGCTGTATCCTTACAGTGTTGTACAGATTAAATGAGATAATGGTTAGAAGTAAAAGTTCTCGGTGCTGCAAAGTGTGACTAACACTCAGGCAAAAGTGTTCTTAGCAAGGCAATTGTCTTCTATACAAGAGCTGCTTCCTGCATACAAGGCAGAGGCAAGGGAGAGCACTCAGAACAAAGGCAAGCAGGAGTTTTTATCCTTAATGCAGATCTTGTTCCTGTCTCTTCCTCTGTAGGCTGAGGTCAGACTGCACCATGTAGGCTAATTCCGATTGGCTATTGTTGTCATCATCGAGGGAGGCAAAGGTCGGCTTTTACAGGAGGGACAGGTACATAAGCGATCAGAAATGCTTAGGTGTGTTTAGTCACAGCAGAGATGAGGAAGGCTGATACACGAATAGGTAAGATTGCTTTTTAGAATAGAACAAAACTGGAAACTAGAAACCGAAACCCTTTGATGAAGGACTATTTGTTTTTAACAACATAATAAAAGCAAAAGACCCTGTAGAGTGTTTAACACATAGCAGGTGTTCAAAATTTGTTAGCTACCTTTCTGCCCCTTTCCTTCATGTGTGAAAGCTTTTTCAGTACATACCTCCCTCTCAGGATTGAATTGTCATAGTATTTTTAAATTACCCTTGTAATAATTCCTCTACCTCTGTAGTCACGTTTTTCTTTTTTTATTTTCTCTTATCCCTAGAATGTCTAACAAAACAGCCAAATACACCTCTGTAAAGACATGTAAAATAATACTATTTCTATGAGTTCTCTCTTACTGTGCAAATCCATAAACTACCACCAATGTGCAGTCATTTTAATTGCCCCTGAACTATAACTAGGAGAGCATCGTGGCAACTACCTTTCCCCTCGTAAATACAGTGACACTATCACTAGGCTTATTGTGACCAAAGTTATAAAGATGGGCTCTCAGTCTACTAATATTAATAAAAACGGGTTTTGGACTTATTAACATTTGTGCTTAGAAGTGACAGACCTGGGCTGGGCGCGGTGACTCACACTTGTAATCCCAGCACTTTGGGAGGCCAAGGCAGGTGGATCACAAGGTCAAGCGATGAGACCATCCTGGTCAACATGGTGAAACCCCGTCTCTAGTAAAAATACAAAAAATTTGTTGGGCGTGGTGGCGCATGCCTGTAATCCCAGCTACTCAGGAGGCTGAGGCAGGAGAACTGCCTGAACCCAGGAGGCGGAGGTTGCGGTGAGCCGAGATCGCGCCATTGCACTCCAGCCTGGGCAATGAGCGAAATTCTGTCTCAAAAAAAAAAAAAAAAAGAGAAGAGACAGACCTGTCAAGTAGTAGCTTGGAGAAGTGACTTCCAGAGAGAGAGGTGTGGGAACCAGGATGGAAGAGTCAGGGCTCCTGATGGTGATTCAAGGAAGAAAGGAGAGGAAACGCTATCTCAGACATAATTAGAGAAAAAAAAAAAAAAAAAAAAGAAGACGATATCAACACGAGGCCGTTTTCTTAGACTTTAGCCTAGCAAGGAAAGGGAAATGCTTGGTCTCAGTACTGGGAAGCCATTCCAGCCAGAGCTCTGTGGCTGTGAAGAGAGCTCTCCTGTCTGGAGCCAAACAGAAGCTCATATGCCTTGAGGCCAGAAAAATTGTTAGGAGGTGGCTCTGGTCGAATCTGGAAATGGGAGCTAAGATTAACTAAGAAGCAAACTAAAGACACCTGTGAGATAGGGATACGTGTGAACTTGCGCCATCCAAACAGGCTGTGTTTGTGATTCTCTGCCTGTGCTTCATGATTTTCCAGCTCTTTACAATGGGTGAAAGCAAAGTAGCTTCGGCTTGTGAATGTGCATTGGGAGAAGAAGCTGCAAAAGTCATTATAAGCAACACCCTTGATCCCTTCTCTTTGAGAAGAGAGCTCTAAGCCTTTCGTAGAGGCATTAGAAAGGTATCCGAGCAGCAGTGAAATGGCAGGGGAGATTCCGTTTAGGGGCGTTCCTGGTCTGCCTTCTGTTAGAGCCATTAAATGTCGCTACACGGATTGCATGGTTCTGGTATGGCCTCATGTGGACCTGCGAGGGATGGAGACATTATGGTCTCGCTTCCAAGAAAAATATACAACCAAGGAAAAATTTAGTGAAAAGTGTGGAGACTGCTTTTAGTGACTGCTCCAGATTTGGATGGTGAGAGAGCTACCATATTTTCTTTCTTTTTCCTAGGTCCATGGCTAATGAAACGCAGAAGGTTGGCGGCATCCATTTTCCTTTTCCCTTCACGCCTTATTCCATCCAGAAAGACTTCATGGCAGAGCTGTACCGGGTTTTGGAGGCTGGCAAGATTGGGATATTCGAGAGTCCAACTGGCACTGTGAGTATGAAAGTGAGGGACAGCGATGAAGACAGCTTCAGGGCGGCCGTGCCAGCTCTTCCTGTTTGCCTGTCTAGAGATTTTCATGGTTTGAAGTCGGCAGAGTAGTCTCAGTTTATCTTTCCGGGTAATAGTTTCTTCCTCTATTAAAGTCTTAAACATAGCTCCATGGTCTGAGAAAAATTAGGCTAAAGTCATCAGTGCATTCCTATTACGATAGATCAGACGGCTTTATTATCATCTCTTTTCCTTCCCTTCCCCCATCCTACAAATGTAATTCCAGGGTTTAGTCTCTGCTGAGTCAACGTGTGTGTTATGATTATGTGCTGAACATAATTTTGTCTTGAACAATATGTCTTAATATTTTGTTTTTCTAGAGTTAATATTGCTTTATTAAAGTTACTTAAGTTTTTAATATACCTATGCCAATTCCTCGCACGTCATCCAGTAGCCTCTCAGTATGATTTTCCATCCAGAAAATTACTGTCTTAGTTGGCCGGGACTGCCATAACAAAATAGCAGAGACTGGGTGACTTAACAGGAATTTATTTTCTCACCACTCCGGAGGCTGGAAAGTTGAAGATCAAGGTTCTGGCAGGATTCCGGTTCTGGGGAAGGGGTCTCTTCCTGGCTTGCAGACGACTGCCTTCTTGCTATGGAGCAAGAAAGAAAGAGGAGGAGAAAAACAGATCTTTGGTGTCTCTTTCTCTTTTATGAAGACAAGGCCTCCTCCCTTAGGACCTCCTTTACCCTTAAACACCAGATCTGTAGCACAGTCAGATAGTGGGGTTAGGATTTCAACATATGATTGTTTGTTAAGATGGGGAGTCTCCCTGTGTGACCCAGCTGGTCTCGAACTCCTAAGTGCAAGCAATCCTCCCCTCTCAGCCTCCCAAGTAGCTGGAGGCTGGCAGGATTCGAGATTACAGGTGCACACCACCACACCCAGCTTCTTTTGTCTCGTTTTTGTTCCCAACTTTTTTTTAACATGCATTTTGGTGGGGACACAACTCAGTCCACAGCAGTGACTATTCCATTTTACCTGGGAGCCTTCCTGGAATCCTCCATCCCTGTTTGAATTTGTTGCTCCTCAGACTGACTTGACAGATTTCAGCATGAGTGTTGGTGGGGACAGACAGCCACACCCACAGCACAGCTGGGTATATGTCCGTTTGGAGGCTTTCTTCAAACATCCGGTGGTCCTGGGCTGCCTGTGTATGCTAAAGAACAGGGCACAGAAAGACTGAGTCTGCAGGGCAGGCTGGCTGTGGCTGCCAGGCTGGGCTCCTTTGTTGGGGGCCTCTAGTGGCCAGCACATCCGTGAGATTTTCCCTAGAGACTTGGGTTTCTCCAGGGCAGGCGCCTCTGAGCTCTGGCCCAGCAGGTACAGGGGCTGAAGCCTGACAGCCAGTCTTCCTGGAAGTGGTCTGGGGAAGGGGCTCCAGGTGGAGAGTCTCCCTCAGTGCCTGCTTTCAGCCTGGCTCTCCTCCTCCACCTCCATCTTTCTTCCTCACTCTGCCTGTTGCCTCCAGAGCTCTCCTAGCTCAGCTTCCGCAGAGAACCCACTTCCTGTCTTCTGCAAGGAGCAGGATCAGGGACTGCAACCTGGGGATCTAATTGTTCTTGAAAAGAATTTCAATCTGTCCCTTTGTTTTCAGTGGCCTGCTGTGTTCCTACCAGTTCCTGAGTCTTTCTGAGAGTCAATGGGGGAGATCTTTGGGGACACGTGAGCTCTAGTGTCTCTGCCGAATCACTTCCGTTTCTCTGTTGTCTTTCCTTGTCTCCTGAACCATATTACTCCTTCCACTTTCCTTGTTTCTGTGGGTGTAAGCCTCCATATTACTTTGGTTAATTTTAATGTGCTTTGGAAAAGAACGCAGATGAGTGCGTGTTCGTTCCGCCTTGTTTATTTTAATTTTAGAGACAGGATGTCGCTCTGTTGCCCAGGGCAGAATGCAGTGGTAAGATCATGATTCACTGCAGCCTCGACCTTCTGGCCTCAAGTGATCCTCCCACCTCAGCCTCCCGAGCAGCTGGCACTACAGGTGTGCACCATCACACCTAGCTAATGTTTTAATTTGTAGAAATGAGATCTCACTGTGCTGCTCAGACTGGTCTTAAACTCGTGGGCTCCAGCGATCCTCTGCCTTGGCCTCCCAAAGTGCTGGGATGGTAGGTGTGAGCTCCTGCGCCTGACGCCTTTCACCTTGTTTTGCCTGACAACCCATCATCTCCCTTTCAAGTCTCTCCGTCTCAGTTTTCTGCCCTCCAGGCTTCCATGTCTTCTTTCTCTGCTCAGCCTTTAATTGTTGATGTTTCTCGTTCACTAGCCTCATCTTCTTGTGTGCACTCTCTGTGAATGTACCTTGTGACTTTATTACCTTTGACATTCTTCTGTCTTCTAAATCATCCCCTGAATCGAGTGTTTTCTCCTGTCCCAGGTGTCCTGTGGCCCACAGGAGTAGCCATGCTGTGGGACACCAAGTTGGGTTTTTGTTACACGTTGTGCATTCCATGCCTTTCCCTGTCTTGTATGCGCAGGTGCCCCAGCTTAGCTGCCTGAGTTGCTGTTTATCCTTAATAGTCATTTTTTAAGCTTCATACGAGTCTGTCAAGTTGAGTCACCATCACAACTTGGTGTGTGCTGTGCCTTGTATAATGCTCCACTTCTGGGAGTCCTCAAACCTGGATTCCATGCTTTGCAGGGAGCGATAATGCCCTCAAATTGTATGTCACATGTGGGCCTGTGAGCATTTCCTAGGGACTCTGCACCTTTGTGTCCTCAGCTTTGAGCCCCATGCTTGTGACAACCAGCAGGTGTTCAGAGTGAATGAATTTGCTTATCTTGGCATAAATCCTTTAACTGTGTTATCTGGGATGATACCCCAGGAAGGTGAGCCTTTGATGATGCATCCTTTTAACATTTTCCAATCTCAAAAGTTTGGTGGTCTTATTACAGGATAGAAAGCTGTGGACCTCAGTTATTCCTCAGGAACTTCCTCAGCTCACTTTCCAATGGAGAGCACTGGCTTTCTAACCATGGTGTCTCCCCGCTCCGTGACAGCCAAAGCTGACTGCTCCCAGTGTCACAGGCAGCACCAAAGAGCCGCCCTCTGGGTGCTGCTGGGGAGTTTTGCCTGAAACTCTTTGCCATTTAGTGTCTCTCAAAAACAGGAAAATGGCACCTATGGGGCTTTTCTAAAAATACGGGATCCATCCATTTGTCAACAATGTCACTCTGTCCTATCCCAGGGCCTTTCAAAATTCTAATGAAAACTAATAGATCCCATATCCCAGAATAATACTATTAATACTCTTATTATTAATGATAGCAAAAAATTAGCTAAGTCCAACTGCTCACTTGTTACTTGCCAGGCAGCCCTCTAATGTCTGTTAACTCATGTCCGGCTTGCACCGGCTCTGTGAGGAGGGTGCTACTGTTGTCGCTCCCGTTTCGGGACTTTTGGAACCAAGCACAGTGAGGCCAGCCTGAGCCACAGAGCTGAGGGTGGGAGTGCAGCTGCAACCCTGGCGCCTGGCTGTGGCGTTTGAAGCTCTGACTCCTACGCCATGCTGTTGCCCCAACCCTAGTCAGATGAGACATTTCACTCCGCCCTGGATGCTCTGCGATCTCCTCTGGGTTCAGCAGGCTGAAGAGCCGACTGCCTGGAGCAGAAGGCACGGGCTCCTCCAGAGACTCCCCTGAGCCCAGTCCCCTTGTGGACACCTGGGCCACCACCTGGTGGCGCTGGCTGCAGGGTCCTCTCTGAGAGAACTGTATAGGTTCCCTGGGGCTGCCAGAGGAAAGCTTCACAAACTTGAGCTTAAACGATGGAAACTGATGTCCCACAGCGCTGGAGGCTGGAGTCTGAAGTCTGAGGTCTGAGATCAAGGAGTCAGCAGGCTTGGTCCCTTCACGTCTGGAGGGAAGGACCCCTTCAGGTTCCTTTCGTTGGCTTATAGGCGGCGTCTTCTCCTTGGGTCTGATCACATCGCCTGCCTCTGTGCATGTCTGCATCCACGTGTCCCCTTTCTAATAAGGATATTAGCCCTTGAGGCTGGGGCCCACCCTAGTAGTCTCAACTAATTACATTTGCAGTGGTCCTGTTTCCAGATAAGGCCACATTCTGAGACACTGGGTGTTAGGACTTCAGCACAGCAATTTGGGGGAATACAATTGAACCAGGCTTACGGAAAATTCTGGTCTTAAGAGTAGTGTTCTCCAGTCTGTGTGCGGATGCGCACACCTATCACCCCCAGCCACTTGGGAGGCTGAGACCAGAGAATCGTGTGAGCTCAAGAGTTCCAGACCAGCCTGGGCAGCATAGCAAGACCGCCTCTCTATAACAGACAAACAAAAAGAATGGTGTCCTCCAGAGTGATTAGTTTCCTTTTAAAAACAAAAACAAGGCCGATGGCACCCAGCTGTAATCCCAGCACTTTGGGAGGCCGAGGCAGGCGGATCACGAGGTCAAGGGATCAAGACCATCCTGGCCAACATGGTAAAACCCCGTCTCTACTAAAAATACAAAAATTAGCTGGGCATGGTGGCACGTGCCTGTAGTCCCAGCTACTTGGGAGGCCGAGGCAGGAGAATTGCTTGAGCCTGAGAGGTGGAGGTTGCAGTGAGCCGAGATCCCGCCACTGCACTCCAGCCTGGCGCCTGGTGACAGAGCGAGACTTTGTCTCAAAAATAAAATAAAAACAAAAACAAAAAACGTGAACACTGGCACTCGTAACTGATCATCCTGTATCCGCATGTGAGCTGCACAAAGGCTGAGCGGCCACTAGCTCTCTCTTGGCAAGTACATGGAATTTCTTGCTTGGCATTTTGGGGCCTTAATTCTTTTGGGCTTTTTTGTCTATTGTCTCACTTCCTTCTAATTATCTGCAATATTTACATATGAGCTGGATAATTAAAGAAGCACTTTCCTGCTTCTTGGGCCCAGTTTTCATTTCTTCCATTTTTCTGCTTTTCCTGGCTATTCTAGTGCTAATTTCCTTCCTTTCCTTCCCTAGGCTGGTCTTAGAGCATCCTCTCATCTGTACAGCCAGACCTTCGTTCAAGCTTTTATTAAAATGGGGAGAGGTCATTTGGAAGGCTCTGTTATTTCCCTATTCCTAAAGATCATTTTCCTTCCTGCAGGGAAAGTCCTTAAGTCTTATTTGTGGGGCCCTCTCCTGGCTCCGTGATTTTGAGCAGAAGAAGCGCGAAGAAGAGGCACGGCTCCTTGAAACTGGAACTGGCCCCTTACGTCATGAGAAAGACGCATCCCCGTGTCTGTCATCTTCCTGCGAAGTGGCCGCAGGCACCCCGAGGCCTGCTGGGGAACCAGCCTGGGTGACTGAGTTTATGCAGAAGAAAGAAGAGAGGGACCTGGTGGACCGACTGAAGGTGAGACCTGAGGTAACCAGAAGTGGGAGCGATGGAGGAAACAGGCTTCAGGGATTGTTTTGGGGTGATTCCGAGGCTCAGGTAGTGCGTGTTCCTCTGTCATTGCCATGCCTCTCAACTCTTCCATCAGCTCCTTGGGTCGATGCTGTCTTTTGTGAGCTGGATATCAGCAGGCCTTTTTCACGCGAGGAGCTGGTGGGTCCTGTTTATCACTTACCTGGGAAAGGACCTGATTGTTGCCATTGGCAACATGGTTCAGTCGCTGTCATGCAGTTAAGGCGCGGATCTGATGGAGAGCCTGTGGCTTTGGGAGGAGCGGGCAGCTTTCCTCAGTGAACAGCGAGGCTGGACTGCAGGGGTGAGGTCCGGGGAGGGGATGCGGCAGTCCTCGAGTGCCGGCCGGGGAAGGGGAGCTGCCCCCACGTGAGGAAGCACCAGGCTGAGCGGCCCAGACTCTTTAAGAGAGGCCTGGTTTGGGGCTTCCTGGTGAGTGTCCTTCGTGTCTGCCTTCCCCTTTAGGCGGAGCAGGCCAGGAGGAGGCAGCGAGAAGAACGCCTGCGGCAGCTGCAGCACAGGGCGCAGCTCAAGTATGCAGCCAAGCGCCTGGTGAGCTGCATCTCCTGCGCGGGGCGGGAGCGTGTCCAGGCAGGGTCCCTGCTGCTTGGAGGCTCATGGGTGCATGGCCAGTGCGTCAGTCTCCCCTTCATGACCCTCCCCGGCTGTGTGCTCCCATGCAGGAGCTGGGCTGTGAGTGGCTGAGGCATGGATCCTAGGAGTAGACCCCTCTCCAGCCAGGCAGCCAGGCCATGTGAATGGGCGAGGTGTGCATGGTCCCCGGCACGTGAGCAGGTCCCGGTACTGAGACTTCTTCCTCTCTCCCCACGTCCACTACTCCTGTCCAGAGGCAGGAACAAGAAGAAACAGAGAATCTCCTCCGCCTCAGCAGAGAGATGCTGGAGACAGGCCCGGGGGCTGAGCGGCTGGAGCAGCTGGAGTCTGGGGAGGAGGAGCTGGTCCTTGCCGAATACGAGAGTGACGAGGAGAAAAAAGCAGCGAGCGGGTGAGACGGCGGCGATGCTACCCTGCCCCTGCCCCAGGCCAGGGGACACCCTTGAAGACAGCTCTTTCCCTTGTGCCACAGGTGCCATGAAGCACCTGGCAAGATGCATGGTGGCCTTTGCCCTCTGCTCTAAGCTGTGTCCTTCTTAGGGTCCATGAGTGCCAATGGCAGCGATGACAGTCACTGTCCTGTCCTGTGTCCACTCAGCTGTCCTCATGGCCACTCAGGCAGGGCAGGGACATTTGTGTCTCTGCTTTAGGCACAAGGAGGCTCCAGCCCCACGAGGGGAGACATCTTGGCGGAGGCCACAAGCCCCAGCAGTGGAGCTGGGCTTGACTTCAGCAAGCCTGACTCTAGATCTTAGGCTCTAACGCAGTGACTGCTCTGGGCAACCCGTGAGGTGCCACCCGTCAAGGCTGCCTTAGCCCAAGCTTTCCTTTTCCTCTGAGGCCTCTGTTGGTCCACACTCGGGGTTTCCTACTTGATGAGCCATGAGCTGTGGGGTGACTTAGCCCGGAGTAGGCCACGCAGGCCATCTCTGGCCCACAGGATCCCTGGTGACAGTCCCGTTCCATTTACACTGGAACCTCACCGCCACCCCTGTGTGTCTGCTCTGGGCGTGGCACTAGCCAGATGCTGTGGACATAGAAGGGAAGAAGACATGGAGGGGACAGTTAATAGACATGAAAACCAACAGCACCCAGGTGAAATCAGCATGTTTGCCTCCAAGGAAAACAAAACTGGGTCATGTGGATGGTGTCGGGGGCTGCACCTGATGATGGGTCCCATGTGTCCCGTGACACCCTGGCCACCACATCTGTTGGAGGGTAACTGCAAGACCACAGACCCTCCGTGGATGTTGTGAAGGCTCATCCCTGGCCATCACAGTCCGTCTGCAGGGCTCCTTCTGACGCCACTTCCAGCAGCCCTCCCCCAGAAGCCAGCTTCCCCGCTGCCCTGGCCTTCCTCCAGCACGCCAGGCCTTCCTCTCTCCTGCCCGGGGATTTGCTCATGCAGCCTGCTCCGTCCAAACACCCTGGCGAATGTCTTTCTCTCCTTTAAGGCCTGGCTCAGGCGTTGCCTCGATGGCCTTGGGTGTCAGCCTTTCTGTTTCACTCACACACCCACTTGTGCTCCTGTGGTTGCCTCCTCTCCCTGGCTGAGCTCGACTGCTTCAGGGCAGGAACCACGTCTTTATGGTTTTATGTTCCCAGAACTGACCCAGTGTTTGGCACAGGGGTGTGCTCAGTATAATGAAATTGACCTGAATGAGCAGATGCTGGCTCATTCCAGTCCGGTAGTGTGATTCCAGGCTGCCCTTGGGAATCTTGACCTCTGCCCCTGTCTAGGGCAGAGACCACCACACTGCTTTATGCCTCACTGGTGAGAGGGACTCATAAATGGTTTGTGCTCAGTGAACCCTTCCTGCCTGCTTCCAAGATCCTGTTTCTGCTCCCCTGCTTCCTCAGAGCCCGGAGGAACAAGGCAGAGAACTTGAATGGAGGTGGAGTGGTGAATATTAGAGGAACAAAGTGCTCCTTTGGGTCTGGGCAAGAGCCACAGATCCCTTAGATCAGCGTCCAAGGCTTCCCATACGCTGACATTTCAAGAGATGTGTGAGCCATTGGAGGACCTGAGTTCTGAATGGAAAATGTTTGCTCTTCCTTTCTTCAAATGCCCAGCTTCTCACTGAGCTCCTGCTGGCTTTGTCCAGCATGCGACATAGGATAGAATCCAAGCTTTTAAGACAGAGCTGCCTGCTTCTTAATGACCGTGAAGTCAAGCCTGTAATAACTGCTGTTCTGACAGCCAAAGGCAATTGTTTTCTGCCTTTTTAGAAAGGAATTTCGAGGTGAACCAAAGTGTTTTCTTTTTTCTCTGTTATTCCCATGGGTAGCCTGCACCTGTCAGATGGTAGATGGTTTTGTGTTTTCTGAAGAGGGTAGGCTAGTAAAGCTGGCTCAGCTTCAGGCCATGGGATGCAGGGTTGGCCTCCCTGCCAACCCCCAGTGCTGATGGGCTCTTCCTTCCTGCATTGCTGGAAAGGGCAGACTGAGACTGAAAAGAGAAGAGGTGTGACTGGTCATAAGTGACAGCATCTTCTGTTCACTCGGTCGGTCAGCTGTGGCTTCATCCAGGAGATGTGCGTGGGGTTCCTGCTGCATGCCAAGCTCTAGGTGAGGCCACAGGAATGCAGCAGAAACAAGGCCAACCTGGTCCTCCCTTGTGGACATGACAGTCTGAGGGGGGAGAGACGGAGGGGAAGCGATTTTGAATGAAGTAGGTGTTAAGAGCAGGTGCCATGAACATGTGTCAGAGCAGCCAGACCTACCAGGGAAGGTCAAAGAAGGCTTCCTAGAGGAGGTGACCTTTCTGCTGTGATCTCGGAGTTGTCTGGGAGCTGGTGAGGGGAGATAGCATTCCAGGTGCAGAACACCCAAAGGCCCAAGGTGATGAAGAGCAGATGTCCCCCCTGGTGCCTCAGAGGGGTCCTGCTTGCTGGAGGAAGGACAGAGAGAGGAGAACAGCCTGCCATGACTCCTGAGGCTTCCAACTCAAGACTTGGGTTGGGGGTGCTGAGCTCCTTCCTTCTACATTTCCCCATCCACAGACCTAAGTAGCCATGGGAAAGGGGTTGGCATTTACCTGGGGGAGTTTCTGAGCAAGCAGCACCTGCTTCCTTGGTGAAACCCGTTGCTGGGGATGTCCAGGGCTCAAGACCAGCGCTCAGCAGATGCTCAGTGTTTTTTGCTGAGGGAAGACGGTTTTGTGTTTTCTCTGTCTCACACACAGAGTGGATGAGGATGAGGATGACCTGGAGGAAGAACATGTAACTAAGGTAACATGAGGGTCCTCTGCTGGTGCTGCTGGGGCCTGCGGGCTGGGCTCTGCACCCCTGGGCAGGGGGCTGGAGTCACTCGGCTGCCTCACCCTCCTGTCCACAAAGGAGGAGCTTCTAGCACTTGGACTCTGTGGCTTCCCAGATGCAACCCTGGAGACCTCTCCTGGGTTCAGGGCCTGGGGAGACCTCTCCTGGGTTTGGGGCTGTGGGGAGACCTCTCCTGGGAGTGGGACCATGGGGAGACCTCTCCTGGGTTCGGCGCCTGGGGAGACCTCTCCTGGGTTTGGGGTTTGGGGAGACCTTTCTTGGGTTCGGGGCCTGGGGAGACCTCTCCTGGGAGTGGGGCCATGGGGAGACCTCTCCTGGGTTCGGGGCCTGGGGTGCCCTCTCCTGGGTTTGGGGCCTGGGAGACCTCTCCTGGGAGCAGGGCCATGCTTGCCACCCCAGGGCATCGAGGAGCAGCTGTTCTGGGCTGAAGGCTGTGTGGTTTCTGCCCCGCTGTGTGGGGCCGGTGGGACGCAGAGTGCCCTGCACCTTAGGTCTCTCGTGGCGTGCTTCTCTTATCCGTGTTTCCATTTGCATGGAGGGCAGTGGGATGTGTGGTCTGACATTTTGCAAGTTTAAACATACTTGGTTTCATTGATTTATGACTTGTTTTTTGTCAGAAGTAGGTATTTTCTCTGTGTTACTCTGTTTTCCTCCCTTCACTCTTAGAGGAGTAGAGAGAGGGTATTCTGCTCAGCCTTCCTTTTTCCCCTTTGGGGGATGGATGTGTGTGAAACAATCCCCGCCCTGCTGACACCCCCCCTCCCCAAATGGGGACCTTTTGCCATGGTGAAGAGTCACCACTTGGAAGGCGGTCACCACTGTCCTAAGATTGGCCAACCCTCCAAAGCTGGTTGATGAGAGGCTGGACGTGACTCGTGGAAGGAGCTGCCTCTGGGGCATTCCCTTGAATGTCTGGATCTGTGGGTGATTCAGGAACCCCTGGGTCCCTCAGTAGATGCGACCTGATGTGTGACATTGCTGTCCTGCCTCAGCTTTGTGAATTTGGAGCCACCCCCTTCCCTCAGCCTCTCAGGCCCTGGCGTGCCTCGGTGTTAGAGAATAGAACGCTGTGGGGTGTTTCGGTTCCCTCTTTGAGCACCCTTCTTTTTCTCCGCCAGGTTTATTACTGTAGTCGGACACATTCCCAGCTGGCCCAGTTTGTGCATGAGGTGAAGAAGAGCCCCTTTGGCAAGGATGTCCGGCTGGTGTCCCTCGGCTCCCGGCAGGTAAACAGCAGTCAGTGTTTCCACCGGGGGCCATCCTGCTCCCTTCCCCACAGCTTGGTCCTCCTCGTCCAGGCCTGGGAGACGCTGGGTGTGCGACAGGTTGAGCAGTGCGAGGAGCAGCCCCCTCCCTGGCCTGGCCTGGCCAACTGATCACTGGAAGGCGAAGGAGAAGTGGGCAGGGCAGGTCCATGTGTGTTAGTTGGTGTCATTTAGCCAGCCTTGTCTCTTTGCCTCTTCCTTTCTCCTTTGTTGCAGAGCCTTTGTGTAAATGAAGATGTGAAAAGCCTGGGTTCTGTGCAGCTTATCAACGACCGCTGTGTGGACATGCAGAGAAGCAGGCACGGTAGCCACCGGGACCATGGCATAGCCGCAGGTGGTCTGGGGAGAGCGAGGCAGGGGTGGCAGTGACTGAACGCCGTAAACTGGCTTGCATAGAAAGAATGGCAGAGGAGGCCGGGCGCGGTGGCTCACGCCTGTAATCCCAGCACTTTGGGAGGCCGAGGCGGGTGGATCGCAAGGTCAAGAGATCGAGACCATCCTGGTCAACATGGTGAAACCCCGTCTCTACTAAAAATACAAAAATTAGCTGGGCATGGTGATGCACACCTGTAGTCTCAGCTACTTGGGAGGCTGAGGCAGGAGAATTGCTTGAACCCAGGAGGCGGAGGTTGCGGTGAGCCGAGATCGCGCCATTGCACTCCAGCCTGGGTAACGAGCGAAACTCCATCTCAAAAATAAAAAAGAATGGCAGAAGAGACTCCAGTTCCCCAGTTCCTTCCTAAGGCTCCTCTCCTTGGGAAAAAGTGTTCCTGCTTTCTGGGTCAGTGTCTGGCCCAAATCCGTGGCTTGGAGATCATTTTCCAGGCTCTTTCTGGAGAACAAAAGTAAAACCTTAGACTGTTCTGATGAGGCGGGAGTCGGCAGTACTTGGGAGGGTCTTACAGACCCCACCCCGTGGAAGTGGGTCTCAGCATCACAGAACCCTCTCTCGGGCCCGTGGACAGTTGCTGTCTCCTTTCTTTTCTCTCCTTGTGTGTGCGCCACCCTCAGAGAAGAAAGGAGCTGAGGAGGAGAAGCCAAAGAGAAGGAGGCAGGAGAAGCAGGCTGCCTGCCCCTTCTACAACCACGAGCAGATGGACCTCCTTCGGGATGAGGCCCTGGCAGAGGTGAAGGACATTGAGCAGCTGCTGGCCCTTGGGAAGGAGGCCCGGGCCTGTCCCTATTACGGAAGCCGCCTTGCTATCCCTGCAGCCCAGGTGAGGGCTCTGCAGTGCTGGAAAGCCACTCTTGGCTCTCACTGTGGCCTAGGCCATGAGGGGAGTCCTCATCACACTGTAATTTGGGGGATGCCACCCACCGTGGTCAGACTGATGGCACTTAACCCATTCTCTCCTGATGCGTGAGTTGGAGGAGGTGCGTGGGATTCCTTGGGGGAACCAGGTGGCAAGGCCAATTGGTGCTACTGGGGACAGTGTTTAGGAGCCAGGAAAGCATGTGCATTCCTAGTGAATGCAGGGGAGAGTATGCCAGGAGCTGAGAAGAGTGTGGTGTGTAAATCTATTTCCAAATGGCTTTGCAAGTGACGGTCCCAGCTTCCACACCTGTGATGTGATGGAACATGTCAGTAATGGAACCAATCAGTTTTCCCATTTTTCATTTTTTTTTTTTTTAAATAGTACCCTTTTAACTGGGAAGTACTCCTAACATACACCTACCTGCAGCATGAGAGAATACTGTCTTCTCTGACTCAACTTCTCTTAATTTGTAAACAGAGCTGCTCACGTAGCAGTTCAAAAATGGTATCTCGTTGTTATTTGGTGGGTACGATTTCACTGTGACCTTGCTCATTCCGTAATTTGAATGACTTTGGAAACAGGATATCACTTGTGGAAAATTCTGTTTAATCCAGAAAAAATTTAAGTAGATTTTAAAAGATTTGGGAAACCAAGTAACCATCTTGCACAGCAGCTAAATGCTCACCAGCATGGGGTCTGAGTGGTATGGGTGCTGGCAGAGAAATGGAGAAGGCTGCCAGCCCCTGTGATTCCCAGGCCTTCCCTCCGGGCTTTGCCTTCAGAGCAAGATTACTGCTGTAGGCATTTATGCACAGATATCATAACATGACCCAAAACCTTTACAATTTTTGCATTTTTTAAAGCACTTTGACCGTATCTTGACTTCATGTTAATAGTTTTCTGGTGAAATTCTATGCATGGGGACACTGGAGCCCAGAAGGGTTAAGTGACTTACATTTTCTCACCAAGAGTAGGTGATGGAGCCCTTCAGTTTCTGGTTTTTCATTTTTTTTGTATGACTATTCCTTTAACTGGAAACTTCGCTAACAAGAAACACCTGAAGATTTGCAGAGTTGCCTTTATTTTTGTTGCCCCAGCTCCACTCCTTAACCCTTGCTTGAGATAGGATGTATCAAGTCTGTTTTGCAGATGAGGAAACCAAGGGTCAGAGAGGTTAGACAACTCTTCTAGAGTCACACAGCTGGGAAGTAGCAGCTCCAGGAGCAGAAGCTGGGGCCGCTTCCTGGTACACCGGTGGTTTTCAGGGTGTTTTGTAGAAACCTGGGGGCCTCCGGGGCAACCTTGAGGACATGGACAAAGCTAAGCAGGGGTTACCCTCACCCAGCCTTGCCCCTGGTTCACTCAGGAGTCAGACCAGCCCAGTTTCCTGTCTTTCATGTATTTGACTTTTCTTGTAAAACTCGAGGAAAGCTTGTCCATTGCTACAAGCTATTTCTTGAATGTCTCTAAACACAGTCCAGAGAGGAAATAGAAGCACTCACATCAGGAGCTCAGTGTTGGGCAGGCCAGGCTGCTGCCAGGGAACCCCGCCCTGCTAACGTGGCCTCTTCTCCCTCCCAGCTGGTGGTGCTGCCCTATCAGATGCTGCTGCATGCGGCCACTCGAAAGGCTGCGGGCATCCGGCTGCAGGACCAGGTGGTGATCATCGACGAGGCACACAACCTGATCGACACCATCACAGGCATGCACAGCGTGGAGGTCAGCGGCTCCCAGGTGCGTGGGCCTCCCCTCCCCAGGCCAGGGCCTGCCGTGAGACAAAGGGATTTGAATGATTCCTCCAGACATCTGGACCAAGAATTTCCCCAGAGGTGGGGCTTGCTAGAGGGCGCACCGAGTCAAGGCAGTGACCTTATTGGAGGCTGACTGTGGCTTTCCAGCACATCCCAGAACTCTGGGGACCCCGCTCCAACAGAGCGACCGGTTTCCCTGTACCTGACTTGCCCTCATGCTCCTGAGTCCCTCCAGCCCTGGATGCCAGCAGCCAGTACTGTAAACTGGTTCAAGAGCAGCCTGACCAACACAGTGAAACCCCATCTACACTGAAAAATACAAAAATTAGCCGGATGTGGTGGTGCATGTCTGTAATCCCAGCTACTCCAGAGGCTGAAGCAGGAGAATCACTTGAACCCAGGAGGTGGAGGTTGCAGTGAGTCGAGATTGTGCCATTGCACTCCAGCCTGGGCAACAAGAGTGAAACTTCGTTTCAAAAAAAAAAAAAAAAAGATTGGTGCAGGCCTCTCCTGCACCATATACGGCACCATATATCTGGTCTTCATGCTGCCATGGGGGTGGTATTCCTATTTTACGTTGGGAACTTGGAGATTCAGAGATGGTCAAGCTGTGCCCTACATCATACAGCTCATGAGTGTGGAGCTGGGGTGTAGCAGCTCCAGGAGCAGAAGCTGGGGCCGCTTCCTGGTCCCTTTTCAGGGTGTTTTGCAGAAACCTGGGGGCCTCCGAGGCAACCTTGGTTTGTGACTGTGAAACGCCCACAGCATCCCACCAGCTCTACTGACCTGTCCCTGGGTTGAATTGAGGCTGCGATGTGATCGTGACCTTGAACCATCACTCTTCGTAGACTCCGGGTCTTTTCTGAACCTTGTGGGAAGCCAGCAGGGAGACTCAGTACTTGAGGGTTTCAGTCTCTTGACCAGGCGTCCCCAAACTATGGCCTCCCGCCGCACTTCAGGAAGGGGCACCTCTTTCATTGGTGGTCAGCGAGGGGAGCACAGTATGTGGCGGCCCTCCAACGGTCTGAGGGACAGTGAACTGGCCCCCTGTGTAAAAAGTCTGGGGACGCCTGCTTTTGCTTTTCTCTGACCCACAGTGGACACTGGAGGAAGACTTCCCTTCCTTTCCCTCTCAGAGCTCATTTCCCAGCAGCTTAAGGGCTGTGGAAACCCATACTTCTTGTCTGCACCCAGCCCCCCCCACCTCCTATTGGTGTCTTCCTGTGTGTCCAGGGCCAGCATCTTCCAGGCGAATCTAAGATGTCAGCAGCACAGCCCTCGGCTGCTTGCCTAGAGCCTGGTTTGTGTTCTTTCTGCAGCTCTGCCAGGCCCATTCCCAGCTGCTGCAGTACATGGAGAGATACAGGTGAGATGTGCCCCTCTGAGATAGTGTGAGTCTCTCAGCCTCGGTGGCCCCCTGCATCAGCCCCTTAGAGGCAGCACCTTGGTTTGGTCGCGGCAGGGTGGAGCCGCGTGCCGTTTGTGTCCCGGGCACATCATGGTGTGTGCTCCACACAGACATGGGAGGCTGGGGACTGACTGCTGGCTCTCAGGCCTGGGGCCATGGCCAGCCTGCTTTCTGGGAAAGGATTTGGATTGTGACCCAGTTTGAGAGGCACTGGGCAGCAAGGCCCCTGCTGGGGGTGGGCGGGGTGAGTTGCCGTCAGGGCACCACTGCTTAATGTCCATTGGCTTCTCAGGAAGCGTTTGAAGGCCAAGAACCTGATGTACCTGAAACAGATCCTGTATTTGCTGGAGAAATTTGTGGCCATGCTGGGAGGTAAGAGCCCCGTCCCCCTGCCAACCCCTGGCCCGCAAAACCTGCCAGGCTGCTACTTCCTTGGGTGCTAATTAGAACCACCTCAGTTCTCTGTGTTTTTAAGAACGGTCTTGATCATTGATTTAGAAAATTCTTGTTCTTTGTAGCTTAGTTGAGTTGTCTGACTTGAGCTTTTTTTAGACCCACGGGGTTGTTTGCCTGTGTTCTGAGGCCTTTTTATTTCAGGCCCCACTCTGCGGGGATAGTAAGGATACAGCATCTCATGAACACACAGTGTTTCTGTGGTAGGCGTAGTGCTGTGGGGTGTTCGAAGCACCTGCCTATGTGGTTTTGCGTGCCCTGTGAGAACGCAGTGCTGGCATTTGAGTCCTCGTGACAGACGCATCAACTAGAGCCCAGAGCAAGGGGCTGCTTACAATTCACGAGCCCAGCAAGGGAGCCTGGGATCTTCTGGCTTCAGCTTCCAGCCCGCTTTGCATGACCCTGTCTCGTCCCCTTCTTTTATGATGGGGCAGCCCCTTGGAAGGCATCTGTGGAAGCGGAAGTTGCAGAAAGCCTGTGGGAGCTTCTGGCGGAAGCTGGTCTCGTGTTGTTGCTCTGAGCCGCCAGCTCTGCCTTGCCTCAGGCTCACCACGTGGCCTGGGCAGCTCCTCTCTGCTCCCGTGCCTTGCAGACGTTCGTCTGGCCACTGTGTCCTGGCCTCCTGGAGGAGGGGTGAAAAGCATGAACATACAGGGCTTTGGGTTCCATGTGCAAGCACATGAGTCAGACATGGGAGGCTCCTAGAACCCCCTGCCCTCTCAGTGGGTCCTTTGTGTGCTATAAAGAACGAAAAGCAAAACAAAGCCATTGAAGTATGGATGCTCTTGATGTGCCCTGTAGAGGTAAAGAAGATAGGGAAGGGTTAGGGGGTGCAGAGAACCACCATCCTGACTATTTCAATTCTCTTTCTTAGGGAACATTAAGCAAAACCCCAGTACACAGAGCCTCTCCCAGACAGGTAAGAGAATTGATGTCCGAGGTTCCAGAGCTGATCTGAGCCACTTCCGAGCTTAACCCTGGGACTGACAGCCGAGGCTCAGGGTGAAACTCCCGAGGCCCTTCCTGTGTTTGCCCTCAGGGACGGAGCTGAAGACCATCAACGACTTCCTCTTCCAGAGCCAGACCGACAACATCAACCTGTTCAAGGTAGAGGTTTCCACCTTTCCACCTTGCACATCCAATTTCCTTAAAACCGTCTGTGGATGGAGTACTACGTGAAGACTGTGGAAGGGAGAAAAAGCAAATTCCTTCTGTCCTCAAGCCATCTAAGGATCTAAAACATAGAGGTGTAGTTACTTAACCCTTAACGCACTGGGCCTGCAAGACAAAAGTCATCTTCCTCTAGGGTGAAGGCCACAGGGATGGGTGAGAAGGGCACCTTTCTTGGTGCCCTGTAGAACAGTTAGAGACTGTAGGTCCTGGCCGCCTCATTCCATCTTCCGGCACAGTCTCCCTCAGGCTGATGGACGGGATCAGGACATTGATGTGTTCTGCTGACCCCTTCCGCATCTTCCCAATTGGGCCTTGGGTCTGGTTGCAGCCTCAGACATCTGCTCACTCCAGGCCTGTATACCTGGCGCTTCTGGCCACTGCTGCCTGAACCCCATCCTTATGCTCAAGGCAGTAACAGTGACCGCCCCTGGGGACAGGGTCCTGCCTGTGTTCTAGGCGGCATGCCATGTGCTGTAGCTCTGAGCTAAGACATCTTCTCACCTCTGGCAAGCAAAGGAAACGGAGGCCCAGGGAGGTGACTTCAGGAGGGTCGCGTGCACAGGCTTCCTGAATAGGGCACTGCATTGTGGACAGGGGCAGTAGAGGAGGAGGTGGCCTCAGAGAGGGGATGACAGCATTGGTGGCAAGGAGGCTCCAGGTCCTCAGAAGGTATCACTATGTTGAGCTGCCTGGGTGGTGGAGGTGGGATTTTGTTTGTGTAGGTTACAGCTCATTCAGTTTGCACACGTGCCTACAGCTGGGCTTGGTTTTTGCAGGTGCAGCGGTACTGTGAGAAGAGCATGGTCAGCAGAAAGGTACGTGCTCCCATCTTGTGGTCCTGAACGGGACCCAGCGGTGCCCCAGTCCCCCTGCCCTTACCATGCTTTCCTCCGCTGCTCTCGAGGGTATTCCAGAGTCTCTTTTGTCTCTGCCCTCCTTGGTGCAGTGGGCCTTGCTGGGGTGGTGGGATGTGTGCTGCAGGCAGCTTCGGCCCGGGAGAGCCTCCGATCCACGCAGCCTGTCTCTCACGGCTGTTCCTTCTTCCTCTCCACTGCTCGATCTCATCCGCCCCAGCTCTTTGGCTTCACGGAACGGTACGGAGCAGTGCTGCCATCTCGGGAGCAGCCCAGATTGGCGGGGTTTCAGCAGTTCCTACAGAGCCTGCAGTCCCAGGCAACTGAAGGTGAGGCAGGAGGGTGGGCAGGCAGAGCCGCCTGCAGGCCTGGGCGAGGGCATCTGTTCCTTGTGTGTGGACCTGTCCGCAGGGCGGCCTCCTCCCCATTCTGCTCCGTGCAGCCCCTGCAGATGAGAGTCAGGCCAGCGCCCCACGACCAGCTTCCCCACTGATGCATATCGAAGGCTTCTTGGCAGCTCTCACTACGGCCAACCAGGATGGCAGGGTCCTCCTGAGCCGCCAAGGTAATTGGCTGCTTCTTGGCCAGGTGCTCCGTTCCCAGGACGGAGCCAAGCTGAGCCAGGGAGCTGCAGCATGAAAGGATTCTTTCCTTCCATCCTGGGAATTTCCTGGGTTAGGAAGAAGCAGTGCAGTGGGCACTGGCCTGCTGTGACTTGGGCAAGCAGTGGAGGAGGACGGGAGATAGAGGGGCTGGGATAGGGGTCCTCTTGGGCAGGGGTCCTAGGGAAGCTTGTATCGTGGGGTAGAGTGGACTTTGGTTTGGGTCATCTATAAGCTTTGTGATTTGGACTATTTTCTTTTTTAACTTCAGTTTCCTCGTATGAATGTGGAGAGGATTGTACGGTCCACCTCTGTGGGCTGGTCGTCCTAGAGATCAAGTGGTCTTAAGAGATGGCACTAGCAGTTGAGCCTCAGACCCGGACTCACCTGGGGATCCCCCTTTGCTGGGATGATAGAAGTGTCTGTTGGGCTTGCACTCACCTCTCCACTCATCTCTTTTTCCAGGCAGCCTCAGTCAGAGCAGCCTTAAGTTCCTGCTCCTGAATCCAGCTGTGCACTTTGCGCAGGTGGTGAAGGAATGCCGGGCAGTGGTCATTGCAGGGGGCACCATGCAGCCGGTAAGGACACCTTTCCCAGCTCCTCTGCCCCATGCGTTGGGATGGGATGGGGGCTGGGGAGAGATGCATCATCAGTCCTGTTCGCTCCTGGGGCCCCAAGCCAGAAGGGTCGGCTCAAGCAGGCCCAGCGGTGTCCACTGGGTGGCACTGCTATTCTTTCTCACTGCTGGGCCTTTTAGGACGGAGGGGCAGGGGCTACTCCTCTGTTGCTCTGTTCTGTAGCCCCAGGATCACACGTCTCCCAGAGGGAGCTGTTCAGTGGTTTCAAACTCTCAGGGAAACAAAATCATGATTCCACTTTTAAAAGGTTCATTTTGGTGTATATGATTACAATAGCCTCGTCGGCGTAATTTTCACTTACGTGCATACCTGTTTTAAAAACAAAAATGTAGCTCCCTCTCCGCACCGCTGCTGGAACTCGCTCTTTGCATACATTCACTCAGCAGCAGAGGAGTCTACTGAGAAGATACAGCCTGAGCCGCCAAGTAATCAGGTGCTTCTTGGCCAGGTGCTCAGTTCCCAGGAACCTGCCTCATTATCAGCAAGCATGCACGTATACCAGTACCCCAGCCATGCTGGATCCCAGTCACACAGATGCATAGCATGCATGTATTCCAGTACCCTAGCCGTGCTGGATTGCAGTCACACAGGTGCATAGCATTTCATGTATTCCAGTACCCCAGCCGTGCTGGATTCCAGTCACACAGATGCATAGCATTTCATGTATTCCAGTACCCCAGCGGTGCTGGATTGCAGTCACACAGATGCATAGCATGCATGTATTCCAGTACCCCACCTGTGCTGGATTCCAGTCACACAGATGCATAGCATTTCATGCATTCCAGTACCCCGGCTGTGCTGGATTGCAGTCACACAGATGCATAGCATGCCTGTATTCCAGTACCCCAGCCGTGCTGGATTGCAGTCACACAGGTGCACAGCATTTCATGTATTCCAGTACCTCAGCCGTGCTGGATTGCAGTCACACAGATGCATAGCATGCATGTATTCCAGTACCCCAGCCGTGCTGGATTGCAGTCACACAGATGCATAGCATTTCATGTATTCCAGTACCCCGGCCGTGCTGGATTGCAGTCACACAGATGCACAGCATTTCATGCAGCTGTTCCTCTTTCGTCAGGTGTGCAGGCTATTTACAGTTTTCGGTTTTGAGCATGACTGTGGTGAATACAACCACGTTTCTGCACAGCGTGATTCCTACCTAGCAAAGGGTCTACTGGATGAAAAGCGGCTGGGAGTCCTGAAGCAGTGCTTCCCAGCCCCCGCTGCCCTAGCTCTTGGCTTTTATATTTGTGTGTGCACAGATTCATAGTTATTCATTCGGCATATTAAAGTTGTTTATAGTCATTATTGTTTCTGACGCTCACATTGTCTCAAAGCTGATGTGAGAGCCCCTTCCTGCTAGCTCAGGTCCTCGCTGTGGCTCTGTCACTCTCGCCTCCAGCACCACAGAATGTCCTAGGCTCACCATGGGTGTCCTTGCCCCCACACTGGATTCATTTCTCCAGGCTGCCCTGGGTTCTTTTAACTGGGAATGAGATTTAGAAATCAAGCTGTGGGAGCCAGGGTGTTTGTAGTGTTCCTGGAGCGTTTTAGTAGACAGATGTAGGAAATGTTTTCCAAATGAATCAATATTGGTTCCGTACTGATGTTTTATTTATTTATTTATTTGAGGCGGAGTTTCACTGTCACCCAGGCCGTAGCGCAGTGGCCCTATTGCAGCTCAGTGCAACCTCTGCCTCCCAGATTTAAGCAATTCTCATGCCTCAGTCTCCCCAGTAGCTGGGATTACAGGCACGTGCCACCACGCCCAGCTAATTTCTGTATTTTAGTAGAGATGGGGTTTTACCATGTTGGCCAGGCTAGTCTCGAACTCGAGTGATCCATCTAACTTGGCCTCCCAAAGAGCTGGAATTACAGGCATGAGCCACTATGCTTGGCCCATACTGGTATTTCTAAGTATAAGTCATAGGATTTGTTTACATGACCCTATATTGTACCTCTTTTTCTCTTAAGCCTGAACATTTGTGGTACGTTAACATACGTATCTGCTTTATCCCATAATGTACTCAAAAGTTTCAAAATCATAATACCAGTATTACTTCTAACAATAAATCTGATTGAAATTGCCTTTCCTCTTTGCCTTCCACGTCTAACCCACTAAGGATGTCTGATCACCAGGCTGTAAAGTCACTTGAACCAGGCCTTTCTTGATGTGCTTCTGTTTTCAGTTTGAGAGAGAGCTAGGCTGTTTTTGTTTCATTTTCTTTACAATTTTAGAATTTGCTTTTTTCTTTTTTGACTTGTAGTTTTAAACTATGTAAATATTTGTGTGGTTCAGGAGTCAAATTTATGTGAAAGGATCTATTCAGGAAAGTCTCCCTCCCGTCCTCCCCAGCCTGTTCCCCACCCGGCCCAAAGGGGTGTCCTTTCATTTCTTCTTTTTCCCCAAAATAAGCAAATATGTGTCCGCATTTTCCCTTTCCTGTTTTATGTACATGGAAGGCATCTTAGTTGGTTGTCCCAGCCATCGCTCCTCTGGTGGGCTGTGTGGATCTCTTGTCAGGCAGATGTAGCGTTGCTCATTCAACTAGTACCCTCTGGATAGGCAGGCAGGAAAAGGCCCGGGGCATGGCTGTTGGGTGTCTGTGGGCTGTGTCTTCTCTGTAGACTCCTAAATATGGGATTCCTGGGTTAAAAAGTATAAATATGTTTAATTTGTTAACTACTGTGAAATTCCCCTTCGTAAGAATTGAATCATTCTATATCCCACCAGTAATGTCTAGGAATGCCTGTTTATCCACAGAGTGGTTACTTTTGGGTTTTTCCCAGCCTAGCAGGTGACTGCCTGGAGATTCTTAGTCAGTAGTTTGGGCTGGGGCCTAGCCACATGTATTTCTGAAAATTTTCACTGGTGGTTTTGCTGCATGCAGGCCAGCAAAATGCCTTTGCCAGATCTCCTCTGCTGTTGTGCACGTAGGTTAAACAAGACTGCCAGCACTGGGTGTCAGTCGCTGTTTTTGGTTTTGTTAATTTGTCATCAGCCTTTTCTTTGACCTTTTCTTTCTGTTTGTGTGTACCTGCTGCCTTTTAGCCCAACCTTCTCGCTTTTTTTCTGCTGGGCCGCTGGGAGGTCACGGGTCCCTGATACTGGGGTCTTGGTCTGCAGGTGTCTGACTTCCGGCAGCAGCTGCTGGCCTGTGCCGGGGTGGAACCTGAGCGCGTGGTGGAGTTTTCCTGTGGTGAGGAGCCATGCCCAGGGTGGGGTGGGCTAGAGGTCAAGGTTCTGGCACATGTTTTCTGTGTGTAACCTCATACTGCGACCAGGCACAGGGGTGGAGGAGTCTTGCTCTTTGTGTGTTCACCCAGGCTCTCCTGCTTTGCTCCCTGCTGCCCAGTGTGACTGTGGCAATGGTGGGAGGGCGAGCACTGTCAGTCACTGCTCCCTAGCTGGAAGATGGGGTAGAGAAATGCCCTTCCTGCAGCTGTGCCTTGCAACAGTCCTGCCTCTCCAGTTTTTGGGCCCTCCCTGGCTCTTAACAGGTCACGTGATCCCTCCAGACAACATCCTGCCCCTTGTCATCTGCAGCGGGATCTCCAACCAGCCGCTGGAATTCACGTTCCAGAAAAGAGAGCTGCCCCAGATGGTCAGTGCCAGCCAACTCGCCGCACCACAGCCCGGGCTCAGGCAGCAAAGGGTTTTCCGGGGCAGGGGCGCTCTGGCCCACCCTAAATGATTTCAGGCGTTAGGGAAATTGTATGGGGGCACCTGCTATAGAGCTGCACGGGATGAGCAGCATCGATCTAGATGCTTATGGAGGAAGGTCTGAGCTTCCCCACCCCTCACCCCTTAGGCTGCTAAATATGTATTTATAAAACCTCCAGGCATCCCCTGAGGATGCCACATGCAGAGGAAAGCTGCTGACTCCCTTTGGCTCTCTTGCCCTTTGGTTATATCTGCTCCTGCCGGTGGCAGGGATGTGGGGCTTGGGAGGCATCGCCTGAGCTGTGCAGTGCCTGATGGTCATTGTGGTGCCTGTCAGGACCCGGGAGTGAAGAAGGGAGGACAGTGCCAGGGCAATAGGAAGGCCCCCCCGAGACACTAGTGCTGTAACGTGTGTCAGAAAGGCTCCGTGGCAGCGGCTGGTGTGTTTGGTGAGAGGTGGCACCTACCACTGTGTGGTTCCCACCCAGGGGAGCCAAGTCCTCCCCGCTGGCTGTAGTCATGCTGTGGGTCTCCTCAGTTTTGAGCCTCAAGGTTAATGTGGGTGGCTGAGGGTTTGCTCCATGGGGGCTCCCTCTTTCTTCCTTAGATGGACGAGGCGGGTCGCATCCTCTGTAACCTGTGTGGTGTGGTTCCTGGAGGGGTGGTCTGTTTCTTCCCCTCCTACGAGTACCTACGCCAGGTCCACACCCACTGGGAGAAGGGTGGTCTGCTGGACCGCCTGGCAGCCAGGAAAAAGGTGAGTAGCCTGTCAGCCAGCCCTCCCACTCAAGAGGACTGTGCCTCTGAGTCCTCCTGGGAGCTCTTGTGCTCACTGAGTCAGGACAGGCTTCTGGCTCCTCATCCCCACTGCTCCCAGTCCCTGACTACAGAGGATTTTCCCAAAGCCCTGAGCTGCGAGGCTCTCCAGTCCCCTTCCAGAAAACACAAGGCCACGAGCAGACCCGAGACCTGGCGCCCTGAACCCGTCTCTGGGAGATGTTCTCTTTCTCCAGATATTCCAGGAGCCTAAGAGCACACACCAGGTGGAGCAGGTGCTGCTGGCCTATTCCAGGTGCATTCAGGTGCGAGCCTAATGCTGAGCTTGGATCTGAGACCCTGTGGGGGTGGCAGCTGGAAATGTTGTGGGTGACATTCCAAGTTTCGACTCAGCAACTCTGGGTCTGCATGTCTTCCGCAGGGCTGTGGCCAGGAGAGAGGCCGGGTGACAGGGGCGCTGCTCCTCTCTGTGGTTGGAGGAAAGATGAGTGAAGGCATCAACTTCTCTGACAATCTAGGCCGGTAAGTAGTGCTTCTGTTGATCTCCTGGGCTGCTGTACTTGGCTGGCCCTCACTCCCAGCAGCCAGGCCCCTGCCTGGCATCTGCTGCTATCGGGGCCCACACCCGAGCTTCAGCTGCTCAGACCAGCCAGCTGGAGGGAGGGGCTCAGCAGCTCTGGGTTTGGCCCTGGGAGAGTAGGTGGAAAGTCAGGCCAGCCATTACTGTATCGGGACCCAATCCTTTGGCCTAGACAGGATCTCTCAGCTGAACAAGACTTCTTTAGGTTGTAGCTGCAGAGCAGGGAGGGGCAGAGCTTTGATAACAGATGGAGAGGGCTGAGGAAGGGGTAGAATAGAGCAGCTGGTGACAGGTGAGTGACGACATGGGAGGCCCTGACACCCACCCGCCCTGGGCTCCTGTCTCCCCCAGGTGTGTGGTGATGGTGGGCATGCCCTTCCCCAACATCAGGTCTCCAGAGCTGCAGGAGAAGATGGCCTACTTGGATCAGACCCTTGTGAGTGACTCCAGCGTTGCAGTGGGTGAGAAGAGTGGGTGGTGGGTGGGAGTGGCATCGCCACCAAGGCTGATACAGCCGGGCCTTCCCCTCTGTGCTGGTGTCTCCTGGCCCCTCCGGAGGCTTGCATGCCGCCCCCCCCACACACCCTCTTGATCTTCCCTGTGATGTCACCTGGACTCCTGCTGCTGGGTTTGGCCACAAAGCCTTCTGGTCTGGCTCCAAAGCCTGGCAGGGTCTTTTCCCAGGGAGAGCTGCAGGCAGGAAACAGTCCTGATGGGTCATCCTTCACCCCCAGCCCAGAGCCCCAGGCCAGGCGCCCCCAGGGAAGGCTCTGGTGGAGAACCTGTGCATGAAGGCCGTCAACCAGTCCATAGGTGAGCCTGGCTGCCTCTGACCGGGTGGGCGGATGGGGGCCGTCAACCAGTCCATAGGTGAGCCTGGCTGCCTCTGACCGGGTGGGCGGATGGGGGCCGTCAGCCGGTCCATAGGTGAGCCTGGCTGCCTCTGACTGGGTGGATGGATGGGGGCTTTGAAAGAGGAGAACAGGAAAGCGGGGTTGCCTGCTTGTCTCCTACACGAGTCTGAGGAAGGGGAGGGGGACGCCATGGGAATGTGCTGTGGGGGAGGCAGGTGTTACTCGGAGCCCCAGCCTCTGTTCCTACGCAGGCAGAGCCATCAGGCATCAGAGGGATTTTGCCAGCATAGTGCTCCTGGACCAGCGATACGCCCGGCCCCCTGTCCTGGCCAAGCTGCCGGCCTGGATCCGAGCCCGCGTGGAGGTCAAAGCTGCCTTTGGCCCTGCCATTGCTGCCGTGCAGAAGGTCAGTCCTGCCTTTTCCTTTCCCGAGAGCCTTCCTGTGCCGAGATCACATTTCTCACTGCCCTCTGTCTGCCTAGTTTCACCGGGAGAAGGCGGCCTCTTCCTGATGGGCAACCACACCACTGCCTGGCGCCGTGCCCTTCCTTTGCCCAGCCCGCTGGAGACGGTGTTTGTCATGGGCCTGGTCTGCAGGGATCCTGTTGCAAAGGTGAAACCCAGGAGAAAGGTGGAGTCCAGAATGCTGCCAGGACCCAGGCACAGGCATTAGCTCCCACGGTAAAAAATGGGAGAATCCTGAAGAATCAGTGGGTCCTGGCTGTCCTTGGGGCCTTCCAGGGTAGCTCCCTCCTGGAACAGAATCTTTCTTTCCATCCTGCATGGCCAAGAGGCAGGCTTCCTGCCTGGTCTCTGCAGGAGACTGTGGCAACTGTGTGGCCGTCACTGGGGCATCTCCGTCCTGCCTACCTTCTTAGAGGTGAGATGGAGCAGGCCCATCTGCCTCTGCCCTTTCTAGCCAAAGTTAGCTGCCCTGGACAGCTCACTCTCTGGGCTCGATTTAAAATGATCCCGTGGCCACAGGGCTTCTGCCCAGGGGCTTGTCACCTTCCCCATCCTCCTGAGTTACTCTTGTGTGTGGTAGGTGGGAGTGGTGTCACCCCCAGGGCTGATACAGCCGCGTCTTCCCTGCTGTGCGGGCATCTCCTGACCCCTCCACAGAGGCTGGGATGCCCCCACCATACCTTTTCGATCTTCCCTGTGGTGTTATCTGGACCCCTGCTGCTGGATTTGGCCATGAAGCCTCCTGGTCTGGATCCAAAGCCTGGCAGGGTCTTTTCTAAGGGAAAAGACCTGTAGCCCTGCTCCTAACCGGCCCCACAGCCCTGCCTGGATTTGTATCTCCCTGGCTTGGCGCCAGTTGCTCCAAGTCAGTAGCACCTCCCTCCCCTTCAACCACTGGAGCAAACTCCAAGACACCTTCTACCCCAACACCAGGAATGATGCCAAGGGCCATTGGGCTCTCAGCATGACTATTTCTAGAGACCTCATGTTGTCACTGAGACCTTTTTTCCTGTGGGAAAATGTCCCTCCCACCTGCAACAGCTGCCCCTGCTGACCACTCATCTTCTGCCTCTGACCCCAGCGAGAGGGGCTGTGGCCTGCTGGGATCTTCTGCCGCCATTGTCTAGAGACCAACAGGGGCAGGAGGAAAGTCACTGATCCCAGGTGTTTGCACCCTGCACAGCTACAAGTCCTTAATTAAAAGTGCACTGTTGGTTTCTGCTCAGTTCTTCATGGATTGGCGCTGCTCTTTTCTCTGGAAGTCTCTTAGGGAATCGAAGAGTACACCGGTGCAGGGGCTGGGTGGAGCCATCCCGCGAAGCACAGGCAGCAGAAGCTCCCGCCCCGGACGCCAGCTTCCCGCTCCTTGAAGGTGGTCTCCACACGCACCTGGGATGTTTCCATCCCTGCCTTTCCAGGGCAGCGGGGCTGAGGAGCCCATTCTGGCTGTGTCTACGTCAGGGCCACGGCTAGAGTCTGAGTTTGGGGAAGGAAAGCATGGCGGAGCCCCCTGGGAATTCCAGTTGTCCTCTTCCTCTGCCTGTAGGGCTGCTGGGGTTGGCAGAGACGGTTTAGAGTCTGACACACGGGCTAAGCCTCTTGCCAGCCCCACACCAGCCCCAGAGATGAAAAGGCTGGAGGGAAGAGGCTGAGTGAGGGAGGTCGTTGGGGAACTCTGGTTCCCCCAGCCCCTGGAGACTTAAACCTGGGAAGAAAAAGGCAAAAGAGAATGAACAACGCCCCAGCCCGCGGCCGACAGCCGCCCTGCCTCCTGCCCTTGCATCGCAGGACCAGCGTGTTGAAGAGATCCCACATCAGCTCCCCAGCTGGGCTTGTGGCTCTCACTGCAGCAGGAAAGCCGCGGAGGGAGTGCAAGGAGCAGCCGCATTGGACCCCTGGCTCCCTGTTCCCGTCCCTGCGGTGTCCTTGCTATTAGACCCTTTTTCCTCCTTGGTTTAACGGAGGAATGGGGGCCCCAGGGCCACACCTGTCCAGGCTCCCTCTATTTAGAGGTGAAAATTCCAGGGCTCTACACTTTGAAAATCACTATTTTATGAGCAAGTAGAACAAGAAATAAGAACTATTCAGAAAATTAAGCATTTCTGACCACTTAACCACACAGAAAATCCACCAGGGGTCCAGAAATGAGACCGAGGTGGCCTCGGAGCTGCTCCCACCTGAAGGAGATGCTGCTGCTCCCGCCCCGCCTGCCGCCTTGGGCTGCGGTGGCCGCAGCCTGGGCTGGGGAGGAGGGTGACCAGCACTGCAGCCGCCGGGGGAGATGAGGGGTGCTGTTAGCGTTCCATCTTCTAGGTCTGAAAAGGAAGTGGAAGAAAGTGTGGGGTGCCTAGGGAAGGAGGTATCTGAGCAGGGAGCCCAGCTCCCATCTTAGCGCCCAGCTCACTTGGGTTGAAAGGCTTCAGCCCGGTGCCGGGGTAGAGTGCATGATGCTGGGGCCTCAGATGCACGTTACGTGAGGTCTGCAATGCCAGGCAGCTCGGGCAGGTGGGATGGTACATCAATCTTGGGCACTTGGCTCAGATTTGGCATGTGGTTCTCTGAGATCTGCAGGATTAGGTGGGGATGTGTGAGAGGTGACAGGGACCCACAGGAGCAGCCAGCCAGGCCTCGTGTGCAGCGTGCACAACTGTGGTGGCATGAGGGGTTCAATAGAGCCTCTCCTGGAGAAGAGCCTGGCAGGGCCCCTGCACCTGCCCCCATCCCTGTGCCTCCTCCCCCGCTGCTCCAGCTGCTCTCTCTCATTGATGGACAAGTCAGCACCAAACAATTCCTCCTCTGTCTCTGCCCCCAGCATCATGTGGGTCTTTTGTTAGAGCACCAGCAAATCCAGGAAGACATTCTTGTACCTACAGGAATGACACGCAAGTCAGGCAAGCCAGCACCTGCTGTCCCAGGACCATGTTCCTGACCTATGTCTTCCCCATCATCGGGGACACTGCACTGAGGGGTCCAAGGCCGCTGAGCCAAGCTATCCTGGTCACCTCCTGGCTCCCACCTCTGTGCTGCATCTGAGTGTGATGTCCTGGGTCCTTGTTAAGCCAGGTCTCGCACGCATGTCCTGCGACCCTGTTTTCTGGCAATGCAGGATCTCTGTGGTGGTGAAGAGCAGTATGGAGACCCGGGGAGACCCCCAAGCCCCTCCACGCCATCCTCAGGCTCCAGCTTGGTGCTCACACACACCGGAAAGGACTTCAGCTTCTCCTGGGAGGGCCGGGTGGCTGAGGGATGGTGGATTTCGGAGTCAGATCAGCAGCTGGCCTAGAGGCTTCTGGGGAGGAGGGACTCCTGACCCAGATTCACTGCTGCTTCCCTCGCCTTTGTCATGACCGCAGAGAAGCAGACCCGGAACCTGGGCTCTTGCCTTCACTATTATGCTCTCCATTCTGAGATAATTAAGAATGATTTGCTAATTACGCACATGGCTGATCCAGTGCTGTGTAACCTTGGGGGTCACCAGATACTAATCACTAGAGAAAACGTGGGAGAAGGACGGACAGAGGAAGTGAGGACGGGGAGCAAGGAGGAAGCTCTGTCCGCGTCTCTTCTGTGCAGGAGATTTCCAAGCAGAAGCACGTCTAAGTGGGTGGAGGTTCCAAGTTGGTCACGTCCCCACCAAAAAAGCCCACATGCTTGTCCATTGCCACAGGAGAGGGGCGGTGTCGGTATTCCCACCTTAGTCATCGATGACCCCCCCTTCCCTCATTCTTGTTCCCAGTCTGTCACCATGTCCTGTCGTCTCCTTTCTCACCCCTGCAAGTCCCCTGACTGCGGCCTCATCCCTGTCACCTCCTGACTACAGTTGGTGACGGAAGAAGAGGCTGCCCAGTGAAGGAGCAGGGACTCCAGGCCTGGCAATAACCAGGGATGCGGCTGGGTGGGGGTGACCTGGACCAGGAGAGAGACCTGAGTCAGGCGGTCACATGCTTCACGTTGGGGTCCCTCATATGAGGCACAGCCTGGGCTCCAGAGAAGACGACGAAGCCTCATTTCAGGTTGCTAGTGGCCGAAGACAGAACCTGTGTACCCGACAACCCCGAGACCTTTGCCAAGAAACAGCAAACATTATTCACTCCAGTTAAACACTGAGTGAAAAGTCGCTGGAGCCCAAGGACTGTGCAAGGTCAGCGCCGCCAGGACAAGAAGCTGCAGCCCTCCTCCCTCGGCAGCCTCTCCCTGTTCCAGCCACCCTGGCTTCCTTTCAGGTCCTCCACCTCAAGGCTGTAGCTCCTGCACTTCCTTCTTTCTGAAATGTTCTTCCTGACTTACACACTCGCTCTCAAATTTTACTACAGATGCCATCATTTCCTCACATCCACCTTCCCTGACCCCTGAGACCAGGCCAGGCCTCCTATGACGAGCCTCACAGCACCTCGTCTCCCCTCCAGAGAGGCAGTAATAACCCACAGAACCCGGGGCCACAATCCCTGGCTTAGGCCATGTGGCCAAGTCTCTGTCTGTCTGTGCCTCAGTTTCCTCATCTATAACATGGAGATAACATCAGTGCCTGCTCATAAAATGTGGCAAGCGGCAAGTGAGTTAACACACTCAGATCAGTGGTGGAGCATGGTCCATCACACATGATTAGTGATTACAAAATAATGTAAATAGGCCTTATCACAACTGTAATTAAATAACTGATCATTAATTGGTTGGTTAGGTCTGTGTCTTCTGCAAGAATATTTACACCAGTTGGACAGGCATGCTGCCTTATCACCGGATCTATAGTAATTTGCACAGTGCCTTCCATGTGAGCACTGTTGGGGAAATATTTTCTGGCTGCAGGAAAGAGTGAAGGATTAGGTGCCCCTGTGTGAGGAAGAGCATGACCACAGGAAACCCGGAGGCGAAGTGGGGCGGAAGCAGGTGAGCCCTTGGGCTCTCAGGAGCAAAACCTTCCAAGATGGGCTCTCACTTTGGCCTCTCCTACCCAGGGAAGCCAGCTGGGCCCCCAGGACCAGGAATGCCCAAAGGGGCTGCTCCCAGAGGACGTGTTGCTGGGACTGGAGAGAGGACTTCCCAGTACAGGGGGCGGCCCTCTGATCAGGTGGGGCTGGGTGGCAGCAGAGCTTTGGTGGGAGGCCAGGATCTTATAGGAGATATGATTCTGCTGGGTGAATGAGGGAGGGAGAGGGCAGGACCAGGAACTGGGGACTTCCTAGGGACAATGGAGGGACTTTGTTGTCTGTAAGGTTTATGTGAACGCAAAAGGAAGTGTGCATATGTTCCAGGGCGTCTGTGTACACACACACATGCACGCACGCACACACTGCACGCACACACACACGCTCCATCACATACCAAGCATGGTTGCGTGTTCTCAAAAACGTGCTGCTGAGGCACCACCCCCAGTTCTAGAACCAGTCCAGGCGGCTCACCCTCCCTAGGGTTCACCCTCAACTCTGTAAGAGTTCTCTTCCTAATCTACTACTGACAGGCTCATACCACACCTCATCTTAAAGATTTCCTAGGAGCTGGATTGCAGACTTTTACCCTCACCCCTGGAGTTGCAATGGGAATCCTTCACCTCAGCCTAGGCAAAGAGCAGCTGCAGGTCATTGTCATGTGCGGACCCAAAGGAGGCCCTGCCTGCCCCTGCTGGCCAGCTGGGCTGAGGGGGCCTGGGGAAGGAGGGCGGCAGGGTTGGTCCCAGGCAGTCTTGCTGAGGCTTGCCAGCATTCCCCTGCCTCCTGGATTTCCCAGGATCCGTAAGCATGGCCTTTAGGAATTCTGGTGGAGGAATGAAGAGCCTGTAGCAGGGTGTCCTGAGCCCTGACCTACAGGAAGAAAGCTGGAAGCGAGACTGAGGACTTAGTTTCAGATGTTCCCTACGCAGCCTCTAGCTCTTGTGCCACAGTTCCTGGAATAGATTCTCCTCTCCTGATCACCACTTTCCTGTCCAGTGGCAAATTTCTCCAAGGCACTTTGCTTTTTGGGAAGGCTTCCAAGGACCCCTGGAGAAAAGAGGAAGGAACATTCTCTAAACTGTTAGACAGAAGATACAGCCAGCTTCTCTTGCAGTTTCTAACATATTTGAAAGAAGCTTGTGTCCAGAACTCCGCCAAGGAGCTCTGTGCTGTGCAGGCGAAGACAAGCACTTTCCCTGCTGGGAACCTTGGGCTGAAGTCATCACGGGTGTATTTGCACCATATTTTCTTTATCCAGTCTTCCATTGATGTGCGTTTGGGTTGATTCCATGAATCTG